TTTATTTATATTTATTTATTTTTATTTTATTATTTTTTTACTGCCTTAAGGCAGTATTAAAAAAGTATATATATATATTCGAATTTTTTTTAGCATACTCAACTTTAATTATCATAATATATGTGTATAAAAATAGGAAAATTGTGCTCTCCGCGAATCTCGGCTGACGACGCGTTATCAAGACTCGATCGACGTAAACAAGGTGCACGTTTGAGACTTTGATATTAGTTAAAGGTAAACGGGACGACATTTGACGCAGCCGGATCTCTTTTAATTGCTCGTGGCGAATCTGCCAGTCAAATGGCCAAAGCTGTATCACCTTATGAATCGCGTATAGATATGAGCCGGGGATCGATGCATCATCTTCCAGTGAAAGTCACCTGTATAAGCGATTGCGTAAGGTTTTCAGCGATTTCAGCCTGGGGCGAAGCCTCCGGTACACAATTGTTTGCCTTCTGCACGGTCGACGGCATTGATCTCTCGGCCATATTATTGCATCGATATTATTGTTCGAGTTCAATCCCATACAGCACAAAATATTTTTACAATCTTTTAAAAATATTTCTTAAAAGATAAGATCATTCTTGAAAATATTTTTCAAATCTTTTAAAAATGTTTCTTAAAATATCAAATTCTCGAAAATATTTTTCAAATCTTTTAAAAATAATTCTTAAAAGATCAAATAATTCTCAAATATATTTTTAAAATCTTTTAAAAATGTTTCTTAAAAGATCAAATAATTCTCGAAAATATTTTTCAAATCTTTTAAAAATAATTCTTAAAAGATCAAATAATTCTCAAATATATTTTTAAAATCTTTTAAAAATGTTTCTCAAAAGATCAAATAATTCTCGAAAATATTTTTAAAATCTTTTAAAAATGTTTCTTAAAAGATCAATTAATTCTCGAAAATATTTTTAAAATCTTTTAAAAATGTTTCTTAAAAGATTAAATAATTCTCGAAAATATTTTTCAAATCTTTTAAAAATGTTTCTTCTTAAAAGATCAAATAATTTTAAAAAATATTTTTCAAATCTTTCAAAAATATTTCTTAAAAGATAAAATAATTCTCGAAAGTATTTTTAAAAATATTTCTTAAAAGATAAAATCATTCTTGAAAATATTTTTAAAATGTTTCTATGTCCGCTTTTTCATGTTTAAACAATAGCTTCAGAAATATTTTTGAATATAGATTTAAATAATATGTATCAAATATTTAAGAAAATATTATCTGAGCGATAAAGAAGAACTTTTTTTAAAATATTTTTAAAAGTTTTTTAAAATATTCTAAAAAATAAATAATCGAATTCTTGATGTTGCCAGTTAATTATTAAAAGGATAATAATAATTTTTTCTAAAAAATGTTATCACAAAAAATTTTTAAATTGTTTTAAAATATTCCTAAAATTATTTTAAAATATTTTTATGCAATATTTTATAGAAATATTTAGAAATATTTTTTGAAAACATTTATAATATTTCGTGCTGTATGAGGTGTATTTGAATAATATCCCGATAAATTAATCGCGAGAGTGTGTGTGTGTGTGTGTGTGGAGGAAGAGCGAAAATATAGAACCGGTATCTATACAATATTTCGAGTCAATTGCGATAAAATTTATTGAATTTGGCGAGCAAACATGTTAAAGCGGTACTAAAAATATACTAAGAAATGCGATAAAAGTAATAAAAAAATATTGATAAATGCGTGAGATGTATTGAAACTCTTATCTGTTATTTTTAACTGCGTGTTTGTGATACCTACCAAAATATTGACATATTCGCTTTTCTATACTTTATAAATAGTGAGAACTATTATTGAACTATAGAGAATTATTATAGTGAATTATTCGAGATATTTTGCCTGCGATTTATTTAAAATTAAATTCAATCTGTTAATAATTTTTCACAAATATTCAATTATAATTTCTTAATATTCCTTAATATATAATAAAATTTTATCTAAGTAATTTTTTAAATATGCTTCATTATTTAATATGCAAGAGTAGGAGAAACAAAAATATATCTATATACAGAATCGCACGCCTTTTATTTGAAATGCTTCCAAAAAACGTGCCGGAACGCCAAGGACGAAATGTCACTTAAGATGTGAATGACGCATCTTGAAAACGACAAGCGTCTGCACGTGACTCATTTTGATATCATCTCATCCGAGATCTCGCACTAGAAGAACTGATACCTATTTTGGCAATAAACTCTAAACGAACCCCGACAATTAAAAGAATCGATAAAACAATTGCTGGGGAGAAAATTGCATATACAAACTTCATTTACCGAGCAATTTTTCAGGTTAATCTCGACTCCTTTTTTCTTTACATTTTTTTCTTTTTCTCCCCTATCTTTGCATATTAAATTTCTTGATATAATTAAACGTTGTATTAAAAAAGTCTACTTTAGTGGAAAGTAAAATCCACTTTAATTAAACGAAGGATCCTTGCGGTAATTAATTTATTTAAAAATTCAATGTTTAATCGCTCGTATCCTCCTGAACGCATCTTACAATAAAAAAAAAGATAATAAAATAAACAGATTTCATTAGATGCGTCCTGAATGTGAAGATACCCTCGCGAGTTTAATTTGGAACATAAAATACTCGATTCGAATTACAGAGTAATTATAGATTCTTGCGAAATATCTGTGCCATTCCATGGAAAGTGGATCTGGCAATGATTGACGACTACCGGCCATACTATAGTTATCTCGCATCTATAGAAATCTATCTTTGAATACGGTCCGTTTTATGCCTGTTACAAATCTGAAGATTTATTGATACGGTGAAAAAACATTTGTTAACTTGACTAAATCGTTCAACTAAATATTATTTTGTCAACTGAACATATAAAATAAATATTTTTAATAAAAATTTAATTTTAATAAACATTTTAATAACAATTAATAAAAATTATTAAAATAATAAATTAAATTAAATTTGATTTAAATACCAATATATGTTTAATTAATAAAATAGTAATTTAGTTAAAGGTTTAGTCAAGTTAATATTTTTTTTCAGTGTACGATTTTCTATTTGTATCAAAATAGTGTTTAAGAAATGATAATTTTAAGAAAATTAATTAAGAGGATGCTACCATTGTTCTGTTTTACCGACTTTAAGTTAGGTTAGGTTCACTTTTTATTAAATATACAGATTGAAAAATCTTCCACAATGAAAGTACTGATAATAATGAATTATTTCATGTCATCTCTATTGGGAGCGCCATATTTTGTGCACAAATAAACTGCAGAACTTTTGTATTAAATAAGTATTGTTACGAGCTGATGCAAGAGGCCGACAAAACTTAATTTTTAACTTTTATTGTTTTTTTTATACGAAATTACAACGCTCCCCGTTCATTATTATCAGTACTTTAATTGTGGAGAAGGATTTTTCAATCTGTATAGTCAATAAAAAGAAAAGCCCTTGAACTCAAAGTTGGTAAAACAGTCATGGTCAGTGTCCCCTTAAAAGCGAAGGATTTTATATCGGATCAAGCCGTATATTTAACAATTTACGGCCCGAATCTGAATTTTGTGCAAAATGTAAATTACAACAATGTTTATACTGGTGTAATAATGGCGCAATGTCGACACACATATAATAGTATTATTAATAACGCATACTGGGGTAATTGTGCGAGTTTGACATTAATTTAATAAAGAGATCTGGCAGGTCGAAGAGTCCGGGCTCACTGCATTATGCATCGCGTACGATGTTGCATGGTATCAACACCGCGGCATTGAGAGAGTTATGAATGAAATATAGTGCAATAGCATTCTCTCTCTCTCTTCCTTGAGCGAGTGCCAAGATCAATGAAAGTCTCGTGGATTAATGAGTCACGACGAAGCGCGGGTTTAATCGACTTGTAATCAGCGTCACTTTCTATTACGTACCATTACACCGCGTAAATATTACGTAATAATCGTACGTAGTTATTATAGTAATAGTAATGACCGTCAGAAACTAAATAGCAAAACTAAACGTCAACTTGACATTTTATCTGCCAGTGATATTAAATTATTTGCGCTCACTACTTATTAAGAGAAATAAACAACTATTTTTTATAAATTTATAAATATTCATAATTTTTATCTTATTCTTTAATATGGTAACATGAGCATAAGTATACTTTTTCTGAGAAATAAGTGAATTATATGAAATTTAATTAATAAAAAAACAATTTAATTAAATTTCAAAATTAGATTTAATTTCTTTATTTCCAGAAAATTTGTTATGATAAAAAATAATGATTTAAATAATTCTATTTTTATTTGATAATATAAATAACTTTTCCCTTTTTCTTTAGCAATATAGTAACATGTGCGTAAGTATATTTTTTTCTGAGAAATAAGTAAATTAATTATATTAAATAATTTAACAAGAAAATAATTAACCTTTAAAACTGAGTTTTATTTAATTATTTTTAGAATAAATTTATTAAAATAAAAAAATAATGATTTATGATAGATAATTCAATTTTTCTTTTTTTTTTTACAGTTTTAATAATTATAATTAGTTACATCGTGAACTTAATAACATGCGTTATTTTAATTAGCTATTCATTTTTATTAAACAAAATGATATATTTAGTAATAAGTTTTCGAAGAAGAAAAATTAATTCGAGAGCGATTGCCAAAATTAATTTGTTTTTAACTAAACTAAATTTTATAATAATTAATTTATTTATTTCTCAGAAAAAAATACTTACGCACTCGTTACTATTAAAGAACAAGATAAAAATTATATGTAATAAATATTTCTCGATCAATATTGACCACTTGACATTTATTTAATAAATTGTGAGATTTATGAAATAAATGTCAAGTGACCGAGGAATATTTAGCTCTTAAATTTTTTAAATGGCGAAAATAGAGAATCCTAATGAGCAATTTATTAAAAATAATGTATGTTTCTCTTAATAAGTAATAAATGTTCATTTAATTTTCTAAACCCTGAAGAAGACGCGCGAATATGAAGGAAGACGTACCAGGGTGAAGAGAGCAGCGATGACACCCCGCATCATCTTTAATGAGGATCTTCCCTTCTAGCAGGACATAGTATAGGACCGATCGATTTCGCAGGTCGACGACAACGAGACTGATTCCTGAAGATAATCGCACGCAGCGCGCCGTTCGAACTGAAAGACTGAACAGGTCGCCGGCAGAAAAAGGCTTTTATACAGGGTGGGGGTCGCCGACCCCCGACGGGGTCCTATACACACATATATTCACACATGCTCTCGCATCTTCTCTTTTCCCTATTCTTCTCGTTTCGACTGCTGTTCTCTTCCTCTCTTTTACATTAATTTTTTTATATAATTTTTCCATGAATTATCACTAGCGATAAAACTAATTTGACACATTATCGTTAATTCCTTATTTTGATCTTTCAAATAAATTTGTATTTTTTTTTAATTGAACATATATTAGTATTTAAGTCAAATATATTTTCTGTTCAATTTAATATGTTATATTTAATTTAAATATTTTTATATATGTTCAATTAACAACACTTTTTATATAATTTTTCCATGAATTATCACTAGCGATGAAACTAATTTGACACATTATCGTTAATTCCTTATTTTGATCTTTCAAATAAATTTGTATTTTTTTTAATTGAACATATGTTAGTATTTAAGTCAAATATATTTTCTATTCAATTTAATATGTTATATTTAATTTAAATATTTTTATATATGTTCAATTAACAACACTTTTTATATAATTTTTCCATGAATTATCACTAACGATAAAACTAATTTGACACATTACCGTTAATTTTTTATTTTGATCTTTTAACTAAATTAGTATTTTTTAAATTGAACATATATGTTAGTATTTAAGTCAAATATATTTTCTGTTAAATTTAATACGTTATATTTAATTTCTTTATATAATTTTTTCATCCTCAATTATCAATAGGGATAAAACTATAATTATTAATTTATTTTTACTGCTGTATCTTAATTCATCTTAAATCAAAAATATTTACACATTAAAAAAAAGAATTGTTCGCTTATTCAACTAAATTACTATTTCTTTAATTTAACATATATATAATTAGTATATTTAAATCAAATATAGTTTCTGTTAGATTTAATATATTTCATTTAAATATTTTTATATATGTTCAATTAACAAAATAATATTTATTTGTATCTTAATTCATCTTAGATCGAAAATATTTACACAATAAAAAAAGGAATTGTTAATTTATAATTTTGACCTTTCAATTAAATTACTATTTTTTAAATTGAATATCTATATATATTAATATTTAAGTCAAATATATTTTCTGTCAGATTTAGCATGTTATATTTAATTTAAATATTTAATATATGTGTTCAATTAACAAAATAATATTTAGTTGAAAGCTTTAATCAAGTTGGCAATTTTTGTTTCGTCCGATTTTGTTTCTGGATATTCTCTCTCCGTTTCTGAAGATAACGGGATTAAATTGATGCGACAGAATATCTTGGTATTCGATACCACTTGCAAAAGGATTATTCCTATCATTATGCGTATCTTGATCTCGATTAGCTAAACCGATGATGGACTTCGAACGAAGATGAGTCGGTCGAATGTAGTTCAGATAGGCTCATCTCTAACTTTAAGTTAGGTTTATCTCCCACGCTCGACAGATAGCAGACGAATTAATCGATCTGAATTAATTTCTCCGTATTTAGTCAACGGTGTCACGTATTAAAGTATTCGTCAAGGCGATTAATAATGATCGGCTTTCAGAGGAATCAATTAATTACGGATCAATATGTCGTTCAATTGGATTCGAAGAATCCCATGCATTTGCACTTTCAATGTCCTTTGTGCGGTTGCTCGAGCGCGATTGACTTCTGCTAGGCTTTGTACGATTCTAGAATGCAAGTCCATTGTTCAGTCTGCAACTGTGCATTAACATTTAATTCTCTTTATGTGACTTCAGAATGTAACATCAACGTTTTATATGACGGTTTACTGAATCAATCCAACGGAAGGCTTTTGATTAATTAGTCGACTGACATAATGAATATAAATTTAAAAGAAATTTAACTTGATTAAATAACTTTCAGATAAATTATTATTTTACTCATTGAACATATATTAGTATTTAAGTTAAATATTAATGTTTCGATAGGTTTAATATATTTAATTTAATATTTTAATATTAATTTAATATTAATAATATTAATTTAATATTATTTTCATATATTTTTTAATATTAATTTAATATTTTAATATTAAATTATATTTAATTTAAATATTTTAATATTAAATTATATTTAATTTATATATTTTAATATTAAATTATATTCAGTTGAAAGATTTAGTCAAGTTCACGAAATTTTTTTCAGTGTAAGAAAATATTAGTTAATTATTCTTTAAAAAATTGTATTTTAAGAGATGAATTTATTTGCTTTTGCAGCGATCGGTAAACATTAATTGTTCATTAGCGAATGTTAATTATCATTATCTAATAGATTTTTATTATCTTTAGATGTTTTGTAAACAATAAATTAAAAAATTGCTTCAGAAAGATTCTTAATAATTGCTATTAATTGTTTCTTAATAGACGTGTTTGTGTTTCGGATAATATATAGAGTTTGATGATACCTTAAATACGCTTTTTATATAACATCAATTTATTAGGAAATCCTATTTCTAATAGACTTATCGCAAGATACATGTTTTATCTGTTTAAAAATAAACTTTCTTCTCCGAAGACTAATGTGCTTTGTCATTCTTAATGAAGCAATAGATTTTATAATATGTAAGGACCACTTTCTTCTTTTCCGATCTCAGCCTTATCTCAGCCCCAGCCCGAATAAATTAGAATTTAAATGACAATACGCAGATTCACGATAAGAAATGCAGATATTGAAAACTATTTTTAATTTCCGAATCTATTTTTGATTAATTAAAAAAAAATAAAAGTATTAATTTTCTAATAATTCTCTATATTAATTTATAAATAATTATATAAAAATATAAATAATTAATTATTATAAATAATTATATTATAAATAATTTAATATCACGGAATTTATCAAAATTTTTAAATAAATAACAAAAAATGTATAACTTTATAGAAATATGTACAAATTATTAATTTCTTAACAATGTATCTATTTCTTTCATATTATATAAAATGCAAAATTGTATATATATATATATATATATAATCCTAAATAAATAAAAATATATTTTAAAATTTTTACAAATTGTTAAGCTATTTTTTTCAAACATTATATCCGTCGCTCTAAGCGCATTTCTCCAGCAACACTATTTATTATTTCTTTATGACAAAATCGTGCATTCATTGATTGTGAAAATAATGCACAGTTTGTGGAGGTATCGTCCTACACGCAAAAATGTTTTCCAAGAAGTATAAAGAGCCCTTTATCGGATTAACCGTTCTACCTCGACGGTGGAGTCACATCTTCCTTATTTTACCTGTAAATAATCCCGACTTTGATCCGGTTTGCAATGAGAGAGAGAGAGAGAGAGAAAGAGAAGAGAGCCACCACGAAACGAAAATTCAGTAACCGATTAAAAAAAAACATTCGCAAAAAATTGTACAAAATATTCAATATTTTTAATATTTAATATTCTTCATGAATGAAAACTTTAGTACCTCAATAATTTGTAACTTTGTATTAAAAAGTTGTAAAAAAGTTATATCTAATAAAATTCAAGAGTACATAAAAAAATTCAACAATTAAATTCGGAGCAAAAAATGTATATAAAAATATTAAAAAAAAGAGAACTTTGAGCAAAAAATGTAGTACAAATGTACATCTATTTATTCTTATTCTAAATTGTCTACTGCAAGCGCGTTTTTTAACATGTAATAATATATTTATATTTTTAATATATATAGTGTCAAATTTGTGTAGCAGAAAAATATATCTGTATTATTTTTTCAAATTATTCTGCAATAAATAATAGTGGGGTTAATGAACAGATAAGATAACATATATAGACAGTAAAAAGCAGCCACATGCCTCTTACGAAATATATATTCCAAGGTAAATATAACGCTGCCTAAAAAGTTAAGGGTGACAGGAATTCAAGATATGTAAATTTGAGATGTGCCTGAAGTATGTGTAAGAATCCAGACACATTTTTAAAACCGGAAGCATATTTGCCGATTTCGACAGCCGATGATGATATTATGAAGGCTCAAAATAAAGAATTTTTATTTTTTTTATTTTTTATTTTTAAAAATTAAAAAATCTTTTTTTAAATCAATGACCTTTTTTTATTTTCTTCAAGTAAATATTTGGTTAAGAGTATTCAAAACAATTATTTTTTTTTTAGTGTAATAACCCCTCTAAATACCATATTTATACTTCTTAGTTCCTAAAAAAAACATTTCAGAAATATTATGAAAATAAAATTCACGCAAAAAATATTCGAACATTCAGTCCGATCATGTATTTAACACATTTCCAATAATCCAATAGTAATATTACATATTTATTTTATCGTACAATGTTTATGCAATGTTGTAATATTGCAATGAAATGTTGCCAGAATGCTGCTGCAATCTTGTTGCGCTGTATGAGAAGCTTGAGTTTAATTTTGGAATGAGCAAGTTTTATGTGTTAAAAATATTTTAAATATTTTATCATGGCATGGCACGTTCTTCTAACGTAAGACAATATTTTTAGCCAGCTAATTTCGTCTGCAGATGCACCGTAAATGTATGTAAATTTTTAGACTGCAGGAAAGGACGATTCGTGTTAGCATATCTCGTTTACAGATCATATCAACTATAGCTGGCGAATATATACAAGGTGTTCGAAATTTAACGGATCGCTTCTCTTCTCGAATTTGAATCGATTATTTATTAATAAAAATGATTGCACAAATTGTGGTTGACAAAGTTCGTTAAAATAAAATCTTGAAATTAAAGAATTAAATAAAAATATTTCTAGAAAAATATATACTTTATATATTTATAAAACATACGATATGAAAGAAGAGCACGTATAATAACAATTAATAAAATTTAATTACAAAGACATTAAAAGAAAAGAATTAATTAAATTCTTTCATTATATTAAATGTCTTTTTAATTAAATTTTAATTTATAGATTTAGTTTAAATAAATTAGATGAAGAAA